GGGGACCACAGGCATGAGCCAACACACCCCGTTACATTTTTTTACTTTTTGTAGAGATGGACTCTCCCTGTGTTGCCCAGGCTGGTCTCAAGCTCCTGGGCTTATGCAATCATCCTGCCTTGGCCTCTTGAAGTGCTAGGATTACAGCTGTGGGCCACCATGCCTGGCCAAAAAGTTCATTCTTATTCTTCACCTTTTTGTATTTTTTTCTGAATGACCAATGTTACTTTTTTCCCATTTTATTTGCCAAACACTGGGAGAATAGGTTTCTCTGTTTCCATCCTGTCCAATGAGACCGTGGACTCATTCTGGTAAATCATGAAATAATCATCATGAATCTAAATCTAGCTCTAAGCTGCAGGTTCACAGCACACCCGACCATAGACTCTCCACACAGCTTTAGACCTCACCCTAAAAGCATGGACTTTGAGGAAGCAAGGCAGAGGAAACTCTCTTTAGACAAAACTGGAGCATGGGCTCATGCCTGTAATCCCAGCACTTTGGGAGGCCAAGGCGGGTGGATCACCCAAGATCAGGAGTTTGAGGCCAGCCTGAACAACACGGTGAAACCCCATCTCTACTAAAAAAAAAAAAAAAAAATCACATATGCGCACACAAAAATAGCTGGCTGTGATGGCACATGCCTGTAATACCACCCACTTGGGAGGCTGAGGAGGAGAATCACTTGAATCTGGGCAGCGGAAGTTGCAGTGAGCCAAGATTGCGCTGTTGCACTCCAGCCTGGGCAACCGCAACAAGAGCGAAATTCCGTCTAAAAAAAAAAAAAAGGCCAGTGGCTCATGCCTGTAATCGCAACACTTGGGAAGGCCCAGATGGGTGGATCACCTGAGGTCAGGAGTTTGAGACTAGCCTGACCAACATGGTGAAACCCCATCTCTACTAAAAATTAGCCGGGCGTGGTGGTGTGGGCCTGTAATCCCAGCTACTCAGGAGGCTGAAGCAGGAGAATTGCTTGAACCTGGGAGGTGGAGGTAGCAATGGGATGAGATGGCACCACTGCACTCCAGCCTGGGCAACAGAGCAAGACTCCATCAAAAAAAAATTAGATTGTTAAAGAAAAGAAAAAAAACTGGAGCATGGTTCAACTTAAAAGCATCCCATGATTCTAGTTACAAAACAGAGTTCTTAAAGAGTACAAGATCTAATGCTACAGAAAGTTTCTTCTTGAGAAATATTTCTGGAATCAAGATTTAACCACTGGCCACCCAAGAAATGCCCCCTGGAAGAATCCAACTCGAGCCGTCATATGCCAGTCCTCCATCTATTATAATGACCTGTGCAATAACAAGGGTTTACAAAGATGCCCCACTGCCCTCTCTTTATTTGGGTTAAATGGACACAAATCGTGAGATCCTCTCTGCTGGAGGCTGGAATTCAGAGAAGGAATTCCTAGCCCCTGCGATGTGGAGCTCAGCCCTGACCCCATTTGCAAATGAACAAGTCTTTCCAATTTTCCAGCACTTTATAAACTAGGAAGCATCTGCCAGACAGAGGCATGAGTTGAACAAGAATCCAAGTCTAGAATGAAGGAGTCCAAATGTATCTCCTAAACCAAGAGGCCAGACCACACAATAAGAAAAGTTAGGGGCCGAGGGCAGTGACTCACACCTATAATCCCAGCACTCTGGGAGGCCAAGGTGGGTAGATCACCTGAGGTCAGGAGTTTGAGACCAGCCTGGCCAATGTGGTGAAACCCCATCCCTACTAACAATATAAAAATTAGCCAGATGTGGTGGCTCACACCTGTAATCTCAGCTACTCAGGAGGCTGAGGCATGAGAATTGCTTGAACTCAGGAAGCGGTGGTTGCAACGAGCAGAGATTACGCCATTGCACTCCTGCCTGGGTGACAGAGCGAGATTCTGTCTCAAAAAAAAAAAAAAAAGAACATAAAAACAAAAACCTTCTGAGCATATTTGAATTTCCATCTTGCTAAACAGAGTGTGGGTGGGGTAGAGCACCTTTGTTAGATGGGCTGTGGGTAGGAAGTAAATTCCATCTGATGAAGGCCTGGCAACTAAGCCAGGAGAAGAGGTATTTGTAAACAACTGGAAAGAAGCTACCTATATAACTGCAGAAGAGGTATTAGCCTATTAGCCAAAGCCTGGTACATCATTTTTAAAATATTAATTCAATTAAATTTTTTTTTAGCTTTTTTTTTTTGTGACAGAGTTTCGGTCTTGTTGCCCAGGCTAGAGTACAAAGGCGCAATCTCGGCTCACTGCAACCTCTGCCTCCTGGTTTCAAGAAATTCTCCCACCTCAGCCTCCCGAGTAGCTGGGATTATAGGCATGCGCAACCACACCTGGCTAATTCTGTATTTTTAGTACAGACAGTGTTTCTCCATGTTGGTCAGACTGGTCTCGAACTCCCACCCTCAGGTAATCCATCCGATTCAGCCTCCCAAAGTGCTGTGATTACAGGCATGAGCCACCACACCTGGCCTTTAATTTTATTTTTTTGAGACAGGGTCTCACTTTGTGCCTAGACTAGAGTGCAGTGGCATGATCACAGTTCACTGCAGCCTCGACCTCCCAGGCTCAAGAGATCCTCCTGCTCAGCCTCCCAGGTAGCTGGAACTACAGGAGCACACTACCATACCCAGCCGATTCTTGTACTCTTTATAGAGACGAGGTTTGACCATGTGGCCCAGGCTGGTCTTGAACTCCTGGGCTCCAGCGATCTACCCACTTCGGCCTCCCAAATTGCCGGGCCTACAGGCATGGGCTGCTGAGCCTGGCCCATGATGCATCCTGACAGTGGAACACAACTGAGCTCCTGGTGTAGAGACAGATATATTGGCATGGAGAAGCCCATTCAATATAGCTAAGGTTTGTACAAGCAGGTTAGCAAACAGAGATCTAGAAAGGTATTCACTGGAAGGTAAATGGTGGGTACAATTTGGTTTTTTATTGTTCTTGTTATTTCTGTATTATTTAAATATATATATAGGCCAGATGTGGCGGCCCATACCTGTAATCCTAGCACTTTAGGAGGCTGAGGCAGGTGGATCACTTGAGGTCAGGAGTTCGAGACCACTGTGGCCAACATAGTGAAACCCAGTCTCTACCACAAATACAAAAATTAGTGGGGTGTGGTGGCACACGCCTGTAGTCCCAGCTACTTGGGAGGCTGAGGCAGGAGAATCGCTTGAACCTGGGCAGCAGAGGTTGCAGTGAGCTGAGATCACACCACTGCACTCCAGCCTGGGCGACAGAGCAAGACTCCATCTCAAAAAATATATGTAAATAGATAAATAAATGTATTATCTGTAGAATATAATATAATATTTTATATATATATGTATATGATTTACCTGATAAATATAACCATTGACAGTATATGTGATATATACCTGATACAGTGGCTCACACCTGTAATCCCAGCACTTTGGGAGGTTGAGGTGGGAGGATCTCTTGAGCCCAGGAGCTCAAGGTCACAGTGAAGTATGATCACACTACTGCACTCCAGCCTGGGCTACAGTGAGAGCCCATCTAAAAGAACTAAAAAGCAGGCTGGACTTAGTGGCTCACACCTGTAATCCTAGCATGTTGGGAGACCAAAATGGGTGGATTGCTTGAGCCCAGGAGTTCGAGACCAGCTTGAGCAACACAGTGAAATCTTGTTTCTATAATAAATAAATAAGTAAACAAATACAAAAAACAGTATATGCGATGTAATCATATTTTCATTTAAAATGTATCTACCATACACAGAAGGCTAGAAAGATATATGGTAAACTATGAATGGTTAGCCTATGTAATGGGATCACAGGTGATTTTCATTTTCTTCTTTTTCCTTATCTGCCTTTTCTAATTTTCCTCTAATGAATATATATTACTTGTTTAATTTTTCAAGTGTTGTTGTTTAAGAGCTACTCCTCTTATTATGTTTGCCAAACCTCAGAGCCTCCACTGGGAAATACATTAATCCAATCAAGATCTTCTCATCCTGGAAACAAACTCCAGGGCTGGCCTACTGTGACTTGAAGTATCTCGGTCATTGTCAACTTTATAAAGATGGCAGCCTAGTGAACTCCCTAAACTATCCCATCCAGCCAGTTGGTATTGCCTTTAAACCCCAAAGCCAAAGAGGGGGTGATAAGTGGGAAATCCCACTTTCAGATACCAGCAATAAGAAATTCTCCTGCCCTTCCTTCCAGATAAATAATGCTGACCCAACCTCCATGCAGCCCCTCTTGGAAAAAGAGCCATAAAAACATGGCAGGCAAAAGCATCTGTAAAAGGATGACAGAATGACATAATGACAGGAAAATTTACGATCGATTTAGTAGACAGAGGTGGCTGTCAGTTTGGGGGCCCTCCAGAGTTCAAGCACACCCATAAAAGAACTCAACAACCCAAAGACTCTACTGGGAGAAAGAGATCTCCCTGCAAATCCACCTGTCACTGATGAGCAGAAATCCCCTGAGGGAGCAGGCATTGGTGGATCTGCGTCTGAAACAGCCAGGACGGAAAGAGGAAGACCGTTGGAGTGGACAAAGGGGACTTCTCCAATGATTTAGGGCTCTGGATCTCCCCCCAGCAAAAGTCCTTCTGGTCTTGAAAAAGTCAGCCCAGAGAGGAACAACCATGGAAAACGAAACTTGAGGGGCTTGGGGTGGGAGGGAGTGTCGAGTCCCAGTTGCTGCTGTCTGGTAGAGCTAACACACAGGCCCCAAACATGCATGACCTCTGGTTCACATCAGCACTGCTGATCAAAAGCAAGCAGCTCACTCTGCCTGGCCCAGGCCTCCCCAACCAGGGAGGATTCAAAGCTACTGGCTTCATGGCTGGTGTGGCTTCCATTAACCCAGAGGTTGGTGTTGCGGACTTCGAGAAAAGTTGAACATCAAACATAATGAATCACGAGAAACCAATAGCTTGGGCCAGCCCAGTGACCTTTTAAAGCAAGACAATATTACTTTAAACCAACATAGTTGTGGAAGCATTAAGATAAACAGTATTGGTTCGAACTCACTTTGATTTCAACTGCACACAGCAGTCTGGGAGGTCTTGTAGGTGCCATTCTCCTCACCATGGTCTGTCTCGCCCCTATCTTGCCATGTCCAGCACACATCTTTCGCTGGCCCCTAGAAAAATAGCAAAGAAGATGCCACGTTGGGGATTAGGAGCATTGCAATTGCTGAAGACAGCATTTTCCATCATGAGATATTCGTATGTCCAAAGAATTTCTGGCATCAAAACCAATGAAATGCTCATCTTGCTTTTCTGCCCATTGTTAGGTACACAAAGAAGTATCAATACCTTTTCCCCAACATCCACTGGGCTTCTAAAATACCATACACAACCCAAAGGATAGTGTGTGTGTGTGGTGTGTGTGTGTGCACGTGTGCCTGCTCACATGGCATCCTTTTAATTTTTTTTAATATCTGGTTTCTGCATTGTCCAAATGCTTGCATGTAAATAGACACAAAGTATTTTGACATCTAGACAGAATCCTCACTTCAAGAAATCAGATCAGTTTCAGGCAATTCCTGGGTTCAGCAAGAGGCCAGTCTATCCAGAAACGTAAACCAGCTCCAGCCAGGGTTAGGTGAATGCTCACTAGACAGACATATTGGCCCCACATAGGTTCAGCTCAAACGCACACACTGAGGTACATGCACACACACACACACACACACACACACACATGCATGCATGCACACACTAATTTTGTGCTTAGCTGTCATAAAACTTAAGACACGTATATGAGGGTGAAAGGTCAGGAGAGGGAAGCATTATTTTCTGTTATTAATTACACCTTATCCATTCTACATGTGCTGCACTCGTCTTAGATAAAAGTTATGGGTCGATTTTATTAGGAAGCCTCCAGGATCATGTAAAGGGGGATTTTGGATTGAGACAAAGGAAATCGCAGGATGGGGAAGGGGGGTAGGGGGTTCATTTGTTCTCCTGCTCAGAAGCCAAGCCAGGCTTCTCCTCTGCCATTTCCAAGACTGAATCTGCACATTCTTGAAATAGCTTGCCCTGCAAATGCTAAATGAACCTGGTCCCTAACCAACTCAGTCCTGAGCAGGCTTTGGGAGAAGAGAAGGAGAGGAGAAAGCAGTGAAGGAAAACGAGTTGGGTAAACCACCGGCCAGGCTGCTGCTGGGTTCAAAGACAAAAATGAGGCCAGCCAAGGGGAAGACTTGAAAGTTCAAGTTCAAATCTGTGTCATCCCTGCCTTCCCTGCAGTGGGTAGCTGCCTGCAGGGATTCTTACTGAACTTGGAGCTTCCATGAGTGGGAATAGGCCTGAGGATGGAGTGCTGGTTGGTTAGGCAGAGGGAGGCCCTCATGGTCAGACAGAAGGGACCCTGGATCCCCATCACCCCTGACTAACAAGAAAACTGTCCATCATAGGAAAGAGACACCAAGACTCCCCAGACCAAAGAGGTTACAAAATGGCAGGGTGGAAAGGGGACTGTAAGAGACTAGAATGCAGCTGGAATAAAAATCCAGGACTGGACCGGGTATGGTGGCTCACGCCTGTAATCCCAACACCCTGGGAGGCTGAAGTGGGCAGATCACAAGCTCAGGAGTTCAAGACTAGTCTGGCCAATATGGTGAACCCTCTTCTCTACTAAAAATACAAAAAAATAGCTGGACATGGTGGCACATGCTTGTAATCCCAGCAACTCAGGAGGCTGAGGCAGCTAATTACTTGAACCCAGTGGGGTGCGGACGTTGCAGTGACCTGAGATCATGCCATTGCCCTTCAGCCTGGGTGACAGAGTGAGACTCTGTCTCAGAAAAGAAGAAGGAAGGAAGGAAGGAAGGAAGGAAGGAAGGAAGGAAGGAAGGAAGGAAGGAAGGAAGGAAGGAAGGAAGGAAGGGGAAGGGAAAGGAAGGGAAGGGAAGGGGAGGGGAGGGGAGGGGAGGGGAGGGGAGGGGAGGGAGGGAGGGAGGGAGGGAGGAAGGAAGGAAGGAAGGAAGGACGGAAGGAAGGACGGAAGGAAGGAAGGAAGGACAGAAAGATCCAGGACTGAGAAAGCCTAGATTTGAATCTTAGCACCAACCTTTCCCTTGGTTAAGTCACCAGCTCTCTCCAAGCCTCGGTTTCCCCAACTTGGAAACAAGGAAAAATAACATCAATAAAAGCATGGATAACACTATTGTCACTAACAGTAACAATTACACTAAAACCACGGCAACACACCATAATGAGGATAATAAGCCCTTCCTAAGGTACTGTAAGATAGCATAATGAGGGACACATCAGGACCCATAAATCACAGTGCAGATATAATTTATTGTTATTAATATGATCTGCCCTGTCCTTCCCCAGCCCCTCAGGCTGCCAGGAAAGTCTGTGCTCTGTCATCATGCACTTGAAGACAGGTTGTTTTGTCCCTTCTCTCTTTTTGTTTCTAATCACAATGTTCTAATTCTCCGGCTGAGGTTGAATTCAATTCTCAGTCGGAGCTCGATGCCATATATTACCCCCTGTCCAGGCTAGCGATCTGGCTTCTGTCTTCTAAGCACTCCAGAGCCGCCAAGTGCTGAGCGCTTACTACGTACCAGGCGCTGGGTTCCACTTTCAGCATGAGTGATCGCATATACGGCTCCCAGCAATGCAGCCAGAAAGACATCTTTGTATACTATCACCCCCATTTCACACAGGAGGAGACTAAGGTTCAGGGAATGGTGCAGCTTGATTTCCTCCCAAGAATGTCTGGCTCCAAATGAGCACGTTCTTCTGCCACCAGTGCGCGAACGCTATGCCATTGGGTCTTTGGACAACTTGGTAAGGCAGACTCCAGCTTATTCCAATGGTCACGGTATACACAAGGAAACACACACAAGACCCTGAGTTCAATTATGCATTCACGAACCCTCAACTGTGATTTCAAGGAACATGGACAATGATGATGATGATGAGGAGGAGGAGGAGGAGGAGGAGGAGGGAGGGAGTGAGGAGGCAGCCTGCATGTAGTTGTCGTGTCTCTATCTGCACATCAGAATGTTTCCTGGGGGTTCCGCCAGGAATTCAGGCCTGTGGGGCCCACTGGGAGTCCTGCCAGTGAATCCAAGGCCCAGCTCCCTTTGATCCTCTCCACAGTTCATCCCTCCCCTGATCGACTCTCACCTTGTAGCTCTGATGTCTAACTTGTAATATCCCAGTAGTGTCCCTAAAGGCGCCAGGCTAGCAGGGGACACTGAGAGGGACTCCATCTTCTGGGGGAGAAATGACAGCCAGCATCCTAAGGATAGAGTGCCTCCATGTAGAGGATATTACCTTGCATTAAATTAAGAACTGTCCCCTCCCTGCTCATTCACTTGTTCCCTATTTTTATTTTTATTTTTTTTTCTTTTTGAAACAGGATCTCACTCTGTCGCCCAGGCTGAAGTGCAGTGGTGCGATCATGGCTCACTGCAGCCTTGATATCCCAGGGGCTTAAGCAATCCTCCCACCTCAGCTTCCCAGTAGCTAGAACTACAGGCACATGCCACCATGCCCGGTTAAGTTTTTGTAGACATGGGATCTCACCATGCTGACAAGACCGTTCCCAAGCTCTGGGGTTCAAGTGATCCACCTACCTCAGCCTCCCAAACATTGGGATTACAGGCGTGAGTCACGGCGCCCAGCCTCTATTTCTCCTTCTGTGGTTGAATTTTTAGGTTTATGTGTTGCAGATGCTGTCTGTATTTCTGACCTTCTTTTTGGCTCTGTTCTTCTGTATTTCTACACGTGGGTAATTCTGTCTCAGTCCCTCTTTCTTTTTCTTCTGCTGCTTCTTTCACTCACATGTTTAGACTTTTACCTCTATCTCTCCCCTCTCTTCTGTCTCTTTCTCTCTCTCTTCCTCTTTCTTTGTCTCTCTACTTCTCTGTCTCTGTCTCTCCTTACATGGCCTCTACCCCATCTCTGCCTCTTTCCCCATATGTGGCCTGCCTGTCCATCCTCTGACTCCCAGGGCACCAAGAAAGCCTAGTCATTCCACAGAACAATTAGCAGCAGCCACCAGGGAAACATGGCCCATAGTGATGAAATTCACCCCAGTCCAAAGCCCACCCAGGGCACGCAGGGTTCGGACAAACCTGTCCAACACCTTACTCACCTTCTCTCACCTTTGTCACCGAAAACGAGTCTGTGTTCACAGAGGACCAAGGTCACTTCAAATAAGTGAACCTGTTGTTAGGAGACAAAACCCTGCTGACAAGGAATCCTGGGAGGTTTGCTATGTGGGGGGTCAGCAGCCTCCATCATCCCCGAGAACCTTCCAGACATGCTCATCAATTTCCAATGTACTATTTAGTCCAACATTGCTGGGGGCTTCCCGGCCCACACGAGGAGGCTGGCTCTACATTTTTATGTTTTCCAGTCAAAAACGTCCCTTTGGCTAAACCTTGGAGCTCATGTACATTTTGACACAGTGTGAACCAAACCATCCACACATATGAAGGGCCAGGGTCTCCTTGGCACAGCACCACCCCTCGCCTCAACAGACAAACATTTATTAGGTAAGTGCCTGCCAAGAACCCAGCATTTGCTGAGCCATTTGACTAAAAGTCCTTCTTTTAAAATATTATTCGTAGAGAGACGGGGTCTCCCAATATTGCCCAGGCTGGTCTCTAACTCCTAGGTACAAGTGATCCTCCCACCTCGGCCTCTCAAAGTGCTGGGATTAAAATTCCTGCTTTTAGTTTCAACTTCTCAATAGAAGTGAAGAGTATTAATTTTCTTACTGTGAACCTGATGGCTGAGATTCGGGTTAATCACAGACTTTTCCAAGGTCACTCACCCAGTGTGACAGCAGCCGTGCTGAACCGCTCTCTTTCACAGGAAGGAGAGACAGAGTAAGAGATGAGCCTGGGCCAGGCGCAGTGGTGCAGAACTATAGTCTCAGCACTTTGGGAGGCCTGGCCTGGGGGTCACTTGATCCCAGGAGTCGGAGACCAGCCTGGGCAACACAGTAAAACCCCACCTCTACAAAAAATAAAAAACTAGCTGGGCATGGTGGTACACACCTGTAGTCCCAGCTACTCAGGAGGCTGAGATGGGAGGATCACTTGAGCTCAGGAGGTTGCAGCTACAGTGAGCTGTAATTGCACCACTGCACTCCAGCCTGGGTGATGTGGCA